CGGTTTAAGGGAGGCAATGCGAGGTGAGCTGGTGCTAACGCACAACAGCCCGTTCTCTTTTGATGGCCATTGCTGGCACGCAACCCACATGCGTCCCCGCCGTGCACCGAATATACCTTGTTAAAACTTTTCTGGCCCTGGCCCTAGGCCACGCAGATCGGCCGATCACTTGCAAGGTTTGCCAATTAATGACGCGGAAGCGCAAGCTAGGGTGGAAACTAGTTTTTTGCTTCTTCATAGGCCAGTCATGATCCTCATGGCAGTTTTCCAGGCTGGAGGTCATGTATCCATATATAGGAACGGGGGGACCCATGGGGCACAAAAACTGGAGTGTCCCCCCACTCCGGCCGCCGTAAGTAATTGATACCGCGTAAGCAGACTTTTAATAGCAAATGGGGCCCCTCAACTGCCCCCTCAACTGCTCCTCAACTGTCCCTCAACTGCCCCTCAACTGCCCTCAACTGCCCCTCAACTCCCGCAACTGCCCCGCAACTGCCCCTCAACTACCCCTCAACTGCCCCTCAACTGCCCCTCAACTGCCCCTCAACTGCCCCTCGACTGCCCCTCAACTGCCCAACTGCCCCCTCAACTGCTCCTCAACTGTCCCTCAACTGCCCCTCAACTGCTCAACTGCCCCTCGACTGCCCCCAACTGCCCCCTCAACTGCTCCTCAACTGTCCCTCAACTGCCCCTCAACTGCCCTCAACTGCCCCTCAACTGCCCCTCAGCTGCCCAACTGCCCTCAACTGCCCCTGACTGCCCCTCAACGGCCCCTCAACTGCCCCTCAACTGCCCCCTTAACTGCCCCCTCAACTCCCCCTCAACTGCCCCTAACTGCCCCTCCTCTGCCCTGACACTCAAATCACGCCGCACACAAACAACGCAAAGCTGTGCAGGAAGTATCTCGAGCAGGAAGGGAGGACAAGCGGGAAACGAGTGTATACCCTGGCTTATCAGGCACAGGCGCTTTCCAATAGCACAGTTCCTCTCCACCAAAAGGCAACCAAACACACACAAGTAAGAACGCAACTTGCAGACCACCTCATGCTCCACCACTTGGCTTCAGCCCGAGCTAAGACCGCGGACGAAGCGATGTAGAACCTGGGAACAGGTGAGAGGAGGCGCCCCCAGGGATTTGCTGGGGAGGCTTAGGCTAGGGAAGGCTTGATTTCTACCAGCAGGCGTCACTCCTGCGCAGGAACCAGCGCACTCCCTTGCTAATGTGAGCCCTCGACGAGTTGGAGGACGAAGTCACCTGGGCCCAGGGCTTCCGGGAAGGGGGGCTACCTACGCTTTGGCTTCTCCAGGCATAATTACCACTCCTAACAGCAAAACATCCTGCGCAGCAAAATACAAACCTGACTGCCTCGGAGCCCCACCCACCTGCAACAAACCCTGAAACCTTGTGTCACTGAGTTTCCAGACCTCGCTGCCTCGGAGCCCCAACCGCCTGCAATCCCGAAACAAAACCTGAAGCCTCCTAGGTACCCCACGATTGCCAGCACTCTGAGGGACCCTGCAGCGCACGAAGATGAAGAACACCTGAGCAAAGAAAAGGGGTCGGGGACCCTACATTTCCATAAAGCTTAAACTTACCCTGCAGAAGCAAACAGACCTGCACGCGCTCACTTATCATCAAACATGCCTACCCTAAAGCCTACCCCGCAGCTGCAAACATGGCCAGCACGCACTCACTCCTACTCACCTACGTTCACTGGCAATCCCTCAGAGTTCCCGGCGCGCGAAGCGGAAATGAGAAAACCACCTGAGACGTTGAGGGCTTAGGCTTGGGAAAGAGACGAGGGCTCAGGCTTGAGGAGATTACCTTCCTACCTGTTGACACAATCACTCCTGTCTTCCTACCTACATTCCTACCAGCAGACGCAATCACTCCTATTGCAGCATGACTACCCCGATCCCTACAAGTGAGTAAACCCTCCTACCCACACAAGAGTCTTTCTGCTTCTTCACTCCAAGCGCCACGCCCAATCTGCCCGCCCAAAACAACGAGCCCCACCCCTCCCACTAGACCAAGCTGTCCAAAAAAACTGCTAGGTGCAACAATGTTCATTGAAAATCACAAGAATTGGTGTTCAAAATTCCAAGCAAAAAACGGCAAGCAATTAAAATCCTGGAAATTCCACGAAAACGCATGCTAAATTCAAGCTCTAATATGAAAATTTGCAAGCAAAAAATCGCAACCCTCCCCCGTGAAGCGTGATTGTGCACCGCTGCACGCCGTCAGGTCAAATTGCGGGCCAATTTCGGGCCAATTGTGGGCCAATTGTGGGCCAATAGCCCTTAGATTCTCTGCATAAAAAATGCCAATCACCCTAGGTACCCTGCATACGCGGTGTCACCGAGTGGTTTTTTTTGCGCGCTATAGGAAAAGGACGATTGCCAACCCAAGCCAGCCCGGCGCTTATAGCGCAACTACAGGCAGCGATGGCGAATGTCTGGAAAGTCTACTGCGAGCGCCTTGAGACCGAAACCGCTACCATGTTTGTGGCGGGGCTCGACTTCTCCTTGCGCCAAGAAGCTGACATGAGTCGATGGATCAAAGGCAGCGGCCCCTCGCTGGCGCTTGTCCGGAACGCGGCCCGGCTGTCTACCACAGGCCGCCTCGCTCACGACCTGATCCGCGCGGAGCCGCCCAGGCGCTTCCTTCCACGCGACTGGCAGCCCCACCTCCGCGAGTGGATCCAG